CCTCCTCCCCCCACCCCCACATTCCTTCTTTCTCTAACAGACTTACCAGCTGGAGGCAGCTGTCAGCTGCCTGTTAGTCTATGGCCGAATCTCCAAAACGGCCAAATCTTTTCTGAAGCTTTTCTGAATTGATTTGGATGCTTCAAATTGATTCAGAGCTTTTAACTGGTCTCCCAATTTCATTCGGATTTGGAGATTCAGTCCCCGAATCAGGCCAAATCTCCTCTGAATCGAATCAGCTACTGAAGCTTCACACAGTAGTCAGGCTCCCTCTTGCTTGCTGGCTGTCTGGCTTCATCAAATTTGCACTCCTTTCTGCACAGCAGCACAATTTCAGTGAGCTATGCTGTTTGGGAATTAGGAGATACGAGTTTGAACCCCCCTCATTTCCTGGGTTAGTGTTTGAGCTGCTAGAACATGATATAAATGGTGGGCACTATAACTTCCTTCCTACAGTTATCTTAAAGAAAACAGTGAGCCCTGTTCAGTTCTTTCAGAGTAAAATGTTGGTTCTTACCCTCAGGAAAGGTTTAGTTTCTGGATTTTCTGAATTGCCAGTCCGAGGTACCTGCTTCTCCTGATACACTGTATAGGGAGCCTGGTGCTGGATTCGACTCTGGGGACCAGCACCTAATGTCAGGCTTTGCACTGCCTAAGTTGGTAAGCACCAAAGTCCTTTATCAAGCCCTCAAAGGTGCATTATTGTTTAATACTGTATTTGTATAATCAAAAACTTGTTGAGAGGGCTAGTGTGGGGCCTTATGTAGCTGCAATTGAGACCTTAACATCAAGATTTTTTTCCACAAAAATGTTGAAAAACAGTAACACTTAAGGATATCATTGAAAGACTTGTTTCTTCAGTTTTCAGAAGCTGAAACTGAAAAATGCATATTGAAAAATCAAAATTTTCAGCTAACATTTTATGATGAAATCCTAATGATATCTTTTGGCAAAAGTAAGTGGTCTCTCAAAAACAATTTGAAAATCAGTTTTTCCATTTCTATTGCTTTAATTATGCTCTTAAAAAGTTAGCCCTAATAATTTTCCATAATTTATAAGAAACTCTGGTGAAATATTATTTTCCATATAATAGTCTAAATATTCTGTGCGTGCTTGCTAGAAATTATATTTTAAAAGATTAATGTCCTCTATTTGAGATGCAGAATAAAATTTACAAATTCATGAAAATGCCCATAGATTAAAAATGTACAGAATATAAATAACTACAGTTAATTCTAATATTGCATTCCAGAAAAAAACTTGTATTTTTACAATTATGCAAGTCATTTTTCAGTTTTCACTGCAAAAAAAAGTTATAAATGAATGCATAAAATGATTTACAAAAAACTGATTTGTATTGTGCATCATTTTGTATAGGCAATTGAAGACGTAGTTTCCAAAAACCAAACCAGTGTGTCTAGAATATATATAAGAGCACAGAAAATGTGTTGTTTTATAAAGTGTTTCTAAACGTAGATTTCTCTTAGAATATGAAGAGTACTTAATTATGTAATGGAATATGTATGTTTATGAAACTGTGGAGGTCATCTTAAATCATGCAGACTTTTAGGTTGCTACTGTTCAGCTTTATCTCACAGATTAAAAAGAGAAATGTATCTCTTAGGTGTTTTTAATTTGCATTATAATAATATATTAATTTGAATAGATAAGTGAATATTAAGTAAGATTCCATTACAAATAAACTTGTCTTTCTACAGCTAGCTTATGTGTAGATCATTTCCTTTTCCTTTATTTTAGTGTTATTAATACAGTTATCAGTGTGTTGACAATAGAGTTTCTTTACTCTTTATAGAAACCAAACTTAAGTAGCTTTATATCAGAGGTAGCCTTAAATCAGAGAGCCTTATAGAAAAGGATTAGAGTCTTCTGATTTCTGAAAATGTTTGTTTCTTATTTTCAGTGGACTGATGATTTTCACAGTGAGTCTTTCTATAAATGCTGAAATGTACATGTATATGAAGATGAGCATTTCTTTAAACTGGTAACATTATTTTATTAAAAAACACCTGCAATTTATTTTTAGTTTTATATAAGCATTTGGTGCAGTATTCTCTATACCTAACACACCGTTTCAAAAACTATAAAAGAACAGTTGGTTCATTCTCAACCATTTCTCTCACCCCCACACTGAAGTGATTGACGTGTGTAAGTTATAGAATAATATTTTTCAGGAAAAGGTTCTCAAATATTGAATGAGAGACAACATTAAGATAAACACAGAACATTTGAAACAAAAACTAGGGACACAAGAATTCAGAAAACCTAGAAACATCATCAACATGGTACTCAAAAATTTTGTTCATCCAAAATTCAGCCACTGTAAATGAATACCAAGCTGCCATTGTTCCTCTTGAAACCCCCCTATTATTGCACCCCACCCCCAGGTGGTCACCTATCACCCCACATTGGGACCAAATCAGAAGAATCACCAAACAACAACAGCCTATACTGGACAAAGATCAGACGTTGAGAGAAATATTACCAGCCCCTCCACTCCTGGCTTTCAAACAGCCCCCCAACCGTGCCAACTCATCAGCAGAAGCATACCTTCTTTTGCCCAACAGACATCAAGTGAAACACACAGCCTTGCCTTGGCAAAAAAAAAATTCTTCACTTGTCAGCACATCTCCACTGCCAGTACTATCAACAGCCCCCTAAAGAAACCATCAGTATCTGTGGTTTTTATACATTTATTTCCCTAAAGGTGATATACCTGATCCAATGCACCAAATGCCCTCATGACAACTGGATGAGTGAAACAAAACAGCAACTACACAAGAGAATGAACTCTCACAGAAAAAAATATAAAGGATGGAGACATACGCTTACCATTGGGAGCACATTTTTCACAGAACAACTACTCTCTTTCTGACTTCACTATCCTTGTGCTCAAGAGAAATCTCAACACCTTTAGAAGGAAAATGTGGGAACAAAAATTCGTAAGCTAGCTTGACACTGTGAACTAAGGACTAAACACCAATATTGGATTTCTGGCCCATTATAATTTATCTAACTCCTGAATTCTTTCCATGCAAGGAAAGTGAAGGCAGTCCTCCCCCACCCCTCCATTTCTCTTCCTTTGATAGGCCTTGATCTCCCAGTAATCATCTTCTTTTCTTTTGCTAATTGTGTGTCTGCTACACCTGAGGATTTCTCCCAGCCTCCCTCCCCTATACTGTGCTTCACTTTCTGTGCTTAGTTTACTATAATCAGAGGAAGAATGTCTTACATTCTACAGCTTGTCTCACTTTAACTCAACTGGTCCAGTAAAAGATACCAGAGATCCCTGCCTCTTCCATTCTATGTCTTGACACTAGCAAAGACTAATTACAAATCAAATCTTGGACTCAACCCTGTGAGGTGCCCAGGGTATCCTAAAAGCAGTCTATTCTAGCTGGAATCATTAGTAGAGGGCATCCAGCAACTTGCACTGTTGGGCGCACAATATATTTTTGTTAGTGCCCTACAGGAAACCAGTAGACACCCTACCACATGCTCCGCATATATAGGATATTACCGTTTCCTTTGATGTCAAACTGCTCCAGCAAGAACATGTGATGTCTTTAATGCAGATCCCATGAGAGAGGGATGTGATTTTCTTTTTGCCCAATTGTCTAGAAGTCAGATTAAAAAACCCAGAAACATAGGTGGCTGTGGTTACCTTGCCCTCTCCAAGATTAGATTCTATACTAGTTGGCTGCTTTAAACAGCTGGTGCAGGTTTTCTCTGGATTGATTTTTAAGCTTGAAGCTGAGAAAAATATCGTTGTGGCAGAGATTGCATTTTAAGTCTTACGAACACAGCAGAGTCCAATGAATATATGAAAAACCTATTAACATGAGAGGCTACATTCTATTGCATTTATTAAA